TGTCTATCTTTAACTGTAACGTTGTTTTCCGAATTAACCCATACAAGTTTAACCAAGGTAGCTAAATACTTGTAGGTACATCAAGCTAAACACTGTGGTATCTTATGTCGTTGCAATAAGTACTTTTTTTGTAGCCAAAAGTATAGTCTAGAGTCTCCTAACAAATCTTTGTATCTAATCCCTAGTTCCCAATAAGTCGGCGTGGATACGTGCCCGCTGTACCGGTAGCGCGTAAAATGGCAGCGGCGCCCGCTGCGCAGGAGTTTACGAGGTCGCAGTAGCTACCTTACCGGACCCGTAGATAAAGCTCGATTCACACATATCAGTGAAGCCACAGTTCCGTCACAGTGTCCGCTCAGTTCAGTATCAGTGTTACAGTGTTGCGTCAGTGAAATATTTTGAATATTTTAAAATGTCAGAGAGCTGTTTCAATATTCGTGTTCAGAAACTATGAAGAAAGTTATTTTGTTTTTGATGCCGCGGCAGCGTCCGTGATCCGACAAAAAATATCGTCGTCAACGAATACGTCCGTGATTGCCGGTGTCGGCACTGACACTGAGAGCACTGTGTCGTCACTGACACTGAGAGCACTGTGTCGTCACTGACACTGACAAGTGGGGATGCGTTCATAGAAAATGTATAAAAGAATATTTCGCACTGTGCCGGTACTGAGCCTGAACTGTGACTTCACTGATATGTGTGAATCGGCCTTAATGCGGCTGTACCTATCTTTGAAACTTTAATGCCCGTTTGTAAAAACGATAACATCAATCCCTAATTTTTAAGTGACCCCTATGGTAACACATAACAGGAATTTTGTTTTCATAGGGGTCACTTAAACAGGATGATTGAATAGGGATTGATGGTGAAAACGGGCTTAAGGAGCTTCTTATAAAAATGTAAACGCCCGTTTAACACTAACTTGTATAGTAAATTTTCTTTTAGTATAGAAATGTCATTTTAAACCAATTTTCAAAGAGTGTTTAGCTTTTTTGTAATAAGGCCTCAGAGCTCCAATCCAATATTTTGATGCGTTTAATTTTTATAGGCATATCTAGTTCATTATTAGTGTGATTTCGTATGTGATTAAATAAAACTAAGGTATTTAATAACACCTAAGTCTTCGTCCTTTTGACATTCACAATACAAAAAGAAAGCAGATGAGTTTTCCGCTTAAAAACCAATCGAACGTATGTTACCTATTTTCTTTAGACTACTTGAGTACATATTTGTTATCACTATTACAATTAAGCGCCTACAAATTTAGGTCATCACTACTGACGCAGATCGTATCTATTTTTTACGAGAAATATCAAAGTTATCTCGAGATTAACATTCGATTAATTATTGGAATGCAGCTGACTTCGATAACCATCGATTAAAGATAGTGTCACCACTTTGTTTTAGTAATGCTAGTTAATCAAACCAAGGTTAATCATATCGGCGATTGGCCTTTCATTATAGGAGTCTACCTAAGTTTTTAACCCACTTTATACTACCGTCGTTTTAAAACAACACATAGAAACAAAAAATTTTGGAGAATATGTAGGTACTTTTGTTTTTATTTATTTATGTTACTTGACAGGTGAAGGCTTTGTCGACTTAGTCTATGTGGCAAATCTTAATAATTCATTAGGTTTTCCATAATATTTACAAGTTTATTTAGCCATTTTCAACGATGAGTTTTCAAGATAAGTAATAATAATAAGTTGCACACTTTATTGAGATAGTTTATATAAAACGTGATGTTAGTATCATAAACTACATATAAACATCAAATCACACTGATTCAGAACCTTTGGTAAGAAGTTATAACGAAAAATAACTGGTGTTGTTTATAAACGCCAGCAGTAAAATGTACTACTTTATCTTTCAAGACATTATTATTTTATTTTTTACTGTAGGACACATTATCAGGCTCTGGAGCTTTATGATTTCGTCGAGGAGCTAGAAAATGACGATAATTTTCCAGTACTAGATTGTCTGACAATAACAACACAACTAGAATAAAAACAATTACTGAGCAGTGGCTCAGTGGTCCAGTGGCCCCAATAGGATTATTCCACTATGTTCACCTCGGTGATATCACCTGTGTGAAGAAAGTGTTATTTTTCGTGTCCTCATTTCACCTCAGAACCATTTCACCCAGATGATATTATCCATATGACTTGATTTGACTAAAGCAGTCGCTTTTGTTCATCTATTTTTAGGGATGAATTCACCCAGGTTTTCGCATTTGTTTACCAGGGTGAATTAATTTCTAGGTGAACAAAGGTTCTAGGTGATCGTTTTAGTCGACGCAATCCACCTTTAAAATGAAGCTAGGTGAAATGGTTCCGAGGTGAGATGAGGACACTAAAAAGACAAATAAATATTTCTATTTCTATTTCACTTTCTTCACCCAGGTGAACAAAGTGGAATGACCCCCCAATAGGCTCCCCGCTCAGCATTTATCCAGACATTCTCGTAAGGGCATGTCAAGAAGCTGGTCTTCCTCGGACGCTCTTGCTTTTGGCATCGCACATCCATGTCGAAGAGACATCGACTCGAGTTTGCTATCCCTCAAAAGGGTGCGTAATGCAGGGAATTACCGTGGTACCTATCTTCAGTTCTGCATTTTTACAATTAAAGAAACAAAAGATAATACCAAAAGTAATATTACTCAGTTTTGTCACAAAAGCCAAATAAAATAAAGGATGGTTTTCTTTATGCAATGCATACCTCATAGTAGTGCATTTTACTACTGTTGTTTATAAACGACACCGCTTTTCCGAATTTCCACGAGGGAAATATTTTTTTTCTTATTTTTCCCATGTTATTTGTCAGTTTTTAAGCCTCATATACAAAGATCATTAAGTTTGGAGATAGTAAAATGTTTCAGGAGTATCTGGGTTAATAAGGGTATTTCTATTTGTACCCACAAAATACAAATACCTATCTACGAGTACCCATGTAAGTACAGCCAAGATTTACAATAACAGTTTGATCTTTAATGAAACCCCCCAGTGAAGGTGGAGTAGCAGGGCGGGCGATAAACTGCTAATTTGGAAGTTTGAGTTTTAAATCTATACTAATATTATAAATGCGAAAGTAAGTCTGTCTGTCTGTCTCTCTTTCACGCCTAAATCACTGAACTGATTATGATGAAATTTGGCATAGAGATAGTTTGAGTATCGGGAAAGGACATAGGATAGTTTTTATCCCGGTTTTTGAAACAGGGACGCGCGCGATAAAGTTTTTCTGTGACAGAAAAAAAACCACGCGGGCGAAGCCGCGGGCGGAAAGCTAGTATAGGTAATAAGTACTGATCGACTTCACAAATCGACGACAAAAAATGTATTTAGCATACGTAATTCCAGATTACAAATCATTCGTATGTTGACGCCAATGAAAAAATACCCGTGTAATATTTCGACGATAATGAGATTAAATCTATGAATAAATGTAATTACTTGTATCAAACGATATCGAATCACAAGGACACAATCGTTCACGCAACTTACACAACTATGTATGTACTTACGATTCTGTATTAAATAAGGAAATATGAAACTACGCCTAATATTCAATACACTTGCCCGTAATCTTAAAATGGCTTTTATTGCGCTGTTTTTAGATTCATAATCCAGCCTATCACACAAGATTTTGAATATTATTCGCACTAATACTACCTATAAATCATTTTATAATATCCTACAAAGTATGTCCAATGTCACAAAATTATTTTTATTCGTATTTTTTCCTAAAAACAAGCCAAAATGTGTATTCTGTACTAAATCATAATTCCACTGATTGAACTATCTATTAAGTATAATTAAGGGGATATCAAAAGCAGGACTTGCGTGATCCGGCACCATAATGACGGCCATGACTTGGCGCAATTGGCGCTATACAGCGTTTATACAGCCGCTATGGAGCTGCTATAGAACCAAGATCCTTTGTAGGCCAAATGAGCTGGATATTTATTGCTCGACGAAGTAGAACAATATGCTAAAAAGGATACTGATGAGCGATAACGTTATTGTACTAATTTAAAATAAAAATAACGCTGAACAATTTGGAAAATAAAATCAAAGGCAGTCAAGACATGTCTATAGTTTGTTCTTATGGCGCCTTAATTTTCTCGCAAACATGAATACCTATTTTATCTTTACCAAACATCTTTGCTTGCATATTAACTATATGCCTTTTAGCTGCCAATACCTATGCCCGCCAAAGGCCCACCTGTCCAGTCTGTCATCGTTAATGCAGTCCAAGCCCAGCAAATATCAAGCATTCGGTATTTATCTAGGCTATACAATCTCGGAATTCGACTGGCCCAAGTGGCAAATACCTGAGAACAATAAAATCATAATGAAAGTGAAATCAGCAGTTTCAGTACTAGTGTATTCTGATTTAGAATCGATAGGAATAATTTTGAAGTGGGATATAATACAGCAGGTTGAGATTTGATGCAGATAAGGCACTATTTCTAAGCCTAGGCACAGATCACCGATTTTTAGTTAGCTGATAGTTGGGTCGGGCTGTTGATCAGTATGGAGATGTATGAAAGTGCGTACATTACACCAATTTGGTACCGATTCTTCATACAATTAGAATCGGGCCCATCTAGCGGCCAACTAAAAGTCGGTGGTCTGGCCAAGGCTTAAGCCCTTGTACAGCTTGTAAGGGACTTTGTTATTGCTGGCAAATACTTGAACATTGAAGTCACAAACTGACACAAAAATCGATATTAATCAGGGCGTAGTAGTAGTGAAAATTTTATAGACATTTTCACTTGTGTCATCAAGTATCTAGTTGAAGAGTTATTTTTAACTGGGCCGGAAGATTTAGCGTGGGCAGGCCTCCCTTTGGTGGACCAGAGACCTGGTGAAGGTCGCGGAAAGAGCCTGGATGCCGGCATCGTAGAACCGATCGTTATGGAAATTCTTTTATTTCGAAGTTGAAACGAACAAACGATCCTACTGTTGAATTCCGCCATTGTGACAAAGCTATCAACTCTACAATCTGCGGTAGGTCAGCATGTCGAAACGGCTGTAAAGCAGAGTTAATGCTCCAGGAACTTCAGCTGGTATAGTGTATGTTGACCTTGAACGTGAAAAAATACTAAATTTAAAGTTACTCATCTGCCATAAGACCTATCTCAGGGTAAAGATGTTCAATACAAATAAGGTCACTTTGAACTTGCTGTATTTAGTGTATTTGTCTCTTGAAACAGAAAAAAGAAGAATAGGGATGGCACTGGGGAGACTTCGCCCGTATTCAAAACATTACTATGAGGTCTCACAGTACGCGTGGACGCACAGGGTCACAAACGAACCAATCATAGAGCTCTATTCAACGCTGTGCGTTCGATTTGCTGCTTCACATAAACAAGCATCGTTTGTGACTACGGGCGTAATTTTCATTTGACCAGTTTTTCTAAAAATGGTGAAATAGTAATGAGAAAAGAAAACATGTCATACATTTTATCTTAGTTTGAAAAGTGTGATATCATTGAATTCATATTTACTTTTACTATGTAATATAATAGTACCAAAACTAGTCGCAAACATTTACAATGGTGTTATTAAAGCTATTTGGCTACTCTATTTCTTATCAGTGGAACTATAAATTGTATCAACTAAAATGAAACTACTACGATAACATAAACATTTATATCTGTTTTTCATTTTATTTTTATAGTACTGCGTACTTTGATGACTTAAAGAGATTAAAAGAATTTCAGTACCTACTACCTGCGTCTTTAGAAATTTTAAGCTCCTTTTCATGGCCTGTATAACCTACTTAACTCCTTTAATGAAATGGTAGTATTTCTAATAGTAACCTCTTTACAATATTTATATTGGTACTCTGCATTTAATCAATTTTTACATAGATCGTTTGCTGATGAAATGAATAAAGTATTAAAGACATAAATAACTTACATACCTATCTGTTAGCACCCCTGTAACCTCTCTACGAGTAAACACGAGGAAACAAAAACAATACTCTTTCTTTTTTTATAAATTGATAAAATACCAATGCGATTATGGTGGATTAGTATAATCAAATTCCGTCCGCATTTACTGCTGCTATTGAGCAATTTTATTATTGAGCCGGAAATTTGGGATAGCGTGAGATTACTGAATAAACGCTCTTCCGCGTATGAAAATATGTGAATTTAAAATACTTGCCTAGAATAATAAGTGCTACCGCACGTTTTAATCTTTTATGGTACCTAACTTAAACAATACTTAAAAGCAGTCATAGAGTTTACAAAGAGGGCATACAATGAGAGAAATAAGTTTGAGCTTCATCAAGTAGTCAATAGATACTGAATTTGTAGTAAATACTGAAGAACAAAGTTAACATCACATTAGGTATTTGTTGTTTTTCTATAGCCATCGGAGTCTGTAAATGTCAAAGTTTCATGAGCGCTCTCTAATCGAGTTACGTATTAACGAAACAAATGTTTTCCTCCGAATTTGCCTTTTAAAGCTTCTACGACTAATTTAACTTTCAACGTCACACAGCACTAAGCGTGTGTTGTAAAAGCTCTTTTTGTTTCGCTCGCCCGATGAAATCTCTTTGCTTCAAAGTAATGAGAATAGACGGCTCGAGTACCCGCACTCTTGACACGACCGAGTCGGCTTGGATGTCACTTAACATTATAATGTGAGATTTAAATTGAGCTGTAAAGTTTAATACGATTAGTCAGATGAGTGTAATTCAGGCAGCGATGATATTAATGACATTCTAACGTGACAACAGATGGGGATAAGATGGGGATTTGAATTGAACTAACTAATCTTGAGATGATTATGTCGTTTAATTATCCGATGATAGAGCTATGAAGACAAGATTGAGCACTATTAGTAAAGGAAGATATTATCATGAACATGACCTTTCCTAAAGGCTTACGAAGGCTTATGTTGTACTGAGATCAGTTTAATCAATTTTAAAGCTATATTTACAGTACATGATAAGCAGTATCATAAATAAATGAATTTTTAAGTTTTATACCATCGGTAAAGACTAAGGTCCAAAGTCCATTGAGATTTACTTTTTTTGTCTGCTACAAAAATGTCTGCTACAAAAATGTCTGCTACAAAAACAGTAAATCTCAATGGACTTCCTTAGTGTTTACCGATGATATAAAGCTTAAAAATTAATTCAGAAAGTTCGTCATTTATCGCAACATTACAATTCCACGTAAAGTTCGCTTATGACTTTAACCATGCCAATATACAGCAAGTACTCAAACAGAACCCCAGTAGGTAGATAGGGATTTCCAGAACGGACCCCTATTAACNTTCTCTACCACACTCATATTAATATTAACAGACATCTAAACGGTTATTGATTGTTAAACCAGTGTACACACGAATATTAAAAGTTATTTGTGTTACGGTGAGGAGGTCGCAACATAACATTAGGGTCTGATTCCGAATTTCCACTTTCAAATAAGGATAAGCTACTGACAAATTATGCATAAGTGAGTCATCTGAGTGTCGATTCATATTTGAACTGGTTTCAGAAATAGAGACTTCAGTTTGGCAGCATTATACACGGTGTTTTTTATAATTGATCAAACAAAAAGGTTGAAATCAACTGCTTAAATACAACTACATACTACTTTTCCTATAGGACCAATATAAAAAAAATATATCCCCTACATACAAACATACAAATGACTGATTGCTGAAGATAATTTGTATGGAAAAGTTTTTTTTTTTCAATTTTTTGAAACCCTTAAGAAAATTTGTTGCATTTGAGCAGTCAAATCAATCCTTTTGATTGATAAAGTATAAAAGTAACACATTGTAACTTTTCATCGAGAAGAAGAATGATAACTAAGCTTCAAGTTAATAGTGAAACGGAATCTGACCCAATAAAGCGATAACATAACTTGAGAAAAACTTTGCCAATATCAATACAAACTGACCTCCCCAATCCGTATGCAATTTCAGCCGTCGCAAACTCAGTAGCCAATGGATGTCCAAAGTAACTTGGCATCAACTCTAACTTAGGCCTTTCAGTGTCCATATTCTCAAATACCATCATGGACGCCGTTTTTAAATCGCGCCAAAAGTCGTCTATTTCGTCTATGGCCGCCATATTGACAGGCTGCCCGAGAGCGATGTCTATGGCGCACTGCGTCAGTGCGTCATTGAAATGACAGATGATGAATCTGTGATAGGAAAAATACACAGCTTTCAACATTGTTCGTATAAAGCAGAGTCTTCGGCGCGTTTTGCCCTACACAATCAACAAAAATATCTCAACATTCAACAAAATGGCCTACTAAAAATGTTGAGTGTTGACATGTTGATTGTGTAGGACAAAACACGCGTTGGAGACCCGGCTTTACGTAGTTCGAGGGTATTTATTGAGTATGCATTCTATGCATACTCCGTCTTAGATTTCATCATCACCTGATGATGAATTATTTGTTTGTGGCGAGTGGCAAACAATAAATAGTCGAAGGCAGTAAATCCTTGAAGGTGGCCGAAGTGATTGTCCACGGTACCTGTTAGCTGACGCGACGCCATCTTTCATCATGCCGGTGAATTTTCTTTCGCCTGTCCTTGTGTAATCGCCCTGAAACAAAAAACATAATATTATTATGTATTAGTTTGATTTTTTTAGCCGTGGCTATCGTGGCCTAGTGGACGTTTTTTTTTATGGAACAGGAGGCAAACGAGGAGACGGATCACTAGTGAGCGCATAAAAAAGTGTCATGTATGTCGGATTATACAGTAGAGGAAACTTTCAAGAACTAAAATTTTAATATGTTTTTTAAAGTGCTCACTAGTGAGGACGTTTGATGTAAAATCACACTAAGCCCTCTGATGATGCGCCCAGCAGCTAGCGAAGCTCTTAGAAACTATCAAGGCTGTGGTGGCTGTTAGTGGCCTTTATGGCCACCATTGGCTATCATGGCCAACATTGGCTATCAATGTCTCTCATGATACCTGAATTAAAATTAAGAAAATTAGATGATTTCAGGAAATTTAAGTACTATTTTAACTTTGCTCGTTTGGAAGTTCGCTGTAATAAAAAAGTACCTTCAGCGCCTTGGTACCAGCGTACTGCCTTGAGTATTGTATGGAGTATCTACCAGTAGCTCGATAGTGTGGCTCTATGTAGTTATAGTGTCTAGTTATCATGATGAGTCACAGTGGCTGTAAGTGGCTATCGGTAGATATCAGTGGCCACCATGAAACTTATGGTTACAATGGCTGTGTGATTGCATACCTTCAGCGCCTTGGTCCCCTCGTATCGGTCATTATGGTGTCGTGGCTATCATGCTAGCTGACAGTGGTTGTAAGTGGCTATAAGTGGCTATCGCAGCCATCGTGGCTATCGTGGCCACTGTGGCTATAGTTGCCTGATAGTGGCTATCATGCTGACTGACAGTGGTTGTAAGTGGCTATCGGTAGCTACTATGACTGTGGTGGCTATGTGAGTACCTTCAGCGCTTTGGTGCCGGCGTACTGCCTGGACACCACGTCTCCGTTGTCGGCCCACATGGTGAGGAAGGCGTGGCGCAGCGCCGGCGGCAGGCCGCAGCCAGGAGTCCCTAATCCCAACCGGCGCAGCTGGAGTCTAGCAGTGGCTATCGTGGCTTTCAGACACTTTGGTGTCGTGGCTATCGTGGCTTTTGGTCACTATGGTGTCGTGACTAAGAGTGGCTTTCGGTTACTATGGAGTCCCGGCTACCATGCTGACTGACATTGGCTATCGGTGGCTATCAGTGGCTATCATGGGCCACTGTGGCTGTCATGGGCCACTGTGACTGTCATGGGTCAATGTGGCTCCCATAGTTACTGTGGCTATCACGGGCCACTGTGGCTATCATGGCCACTGTGACTATGCGAGTACCTTCAGCGCCTTGGTGCCGGCGTACTGTCTGGACACGACGTCTCCGTTGTCGGCCCACATGGTGAGGAAGGCGTGGCGCAGCGCCGGCGGCAGGCCGCAGCCCGGAGTTCCTAATCCCAACCGGCACAGCTGGAGTTCTAGCACGTATTTCGCTATCGCAGTCTGTAAAAAATACAAAATTTTGACTGGAATTTGCAGAACTTACGGCGATGGGGCAACAAGGTTCTGGAAAGCGAAGCGTGGGACGTCCACCCTCAAGGTAGTCGACTTCATAAAGGTAGCAGGAAGGCGCTGGATACAGGCCGCTACCAACCGGTCAATATGAAAATCATTGGGGAAAGCCTATGTTCAGCAGTGCTGCCGTGCTAGTGACATCAGCAGCAACTCCAATATTTTGCTGTTAAAAACTCTTGTCAGCTCATCTAAAAGAGCTCATTCATTATAGTCTTGCCAAAAAATTGAGTTACGGCTAGCACGGCAGAGTGGACGTCCTATGGCTGAAATGATGAGACTGGAAATTATATTAATTAATACCTATCTTATTTATCCCGCTAGAGAAAGGTCGCCGTTTCAATCAAAGCATGTCCAAAATGGTCCCGCATTTAGGCGTCACGCGATCTTGACCAGATCGTCGATCCTCTGAGCACGATCATGGGTATAGTGGCTGTCAGTGGCCATCATATCACTCACCTGAACAACGTTAGTCCTGTCCAAACAGTCGATGCAATTCACCCTAAAGACGCCATTCTGCGCACAGATCAAGCCGCGGTCATCGCGCCAACAGAAACGCATCTCGCCAATGATGTCTGCGATCGCCTTAATATCCCACACAGCGTGGCTATGATAGCCATCAGTGCTACCAGTGACTATCGGAGCTCTGGGTTCCTATCATGGCTGTAAGGGCTGTTAGTGGCTATCAGTAGCTATAGGTGGCTATCCGTGCCCATCGGTGGCTATCAGTGGCTTTAATGGCTGTAATGACTATCAGTGGCTATAGGTGGCTATCAGTGACCATCGGTATCTGTCAGTGGCTGTCAACGGTTATGGTTGGTAAAGCTTACCTGAACAACATTAGTCCTGTCCAAACAGTCGATGCAATTCACCCTAAAGACGCCATTCTGCGCACAAAATAAATAAGGCCGCGGTCATCGCGCCAACAGAAGCGCATCTCGCCGATGATGTCTGCGATCGCCTTGATATCCCACAAAAGCGTCGCTATCTGTGGCTATCATTACCATCAGTGCTACCAGTGACAATCGGAGCTCTTGGTAACTATCATGGATTTGGTAGCTATCAGTGGTCATCAGTAGCTAAAGGTTGCTATGAGTGGCCATCGGTAGCTGTCAGTAGCTATTAGTGGCTATCAATGGCTATCACTCACCTGAACAACGTTAGTCCTGTCCAAACAGTCGATGCAATTGACCCTAAACACTCCATTCTGCGCACAGATCAAGCCGCGGTCATCGCGCCAACAGAAGCGCATCTCGCCGATGATGTCTGCTATCGCGTTGATAAGGATGCTCACGTTTTCGTAGTGCATGCCGCGGCTGGGGGAAAATGAGCTTTATTGACAAGGAGAAAGTGGTGCTTTTCTTATGTAGATTGAATGTAGCACGTGCCGCAGTTGGGGAAAAATAAGCATAAGAGTTTCTGCAGACTACAGACCTTTCTTCCAATAGTTTAGTTGGGCTGTTAATCAATATGGGCATAGTCAAGCCATGTATTCATTAAGCAACATTTGTTGATAAACACTGTTTATAAACTGTTCATAAACAATGTTTCATAATGTTTCATCATCTCTGTAAACAGTTTATAAACAGTTCATAAACATAGGTGATGAAACATTGTTTATGATACATATTGCCGTGCTCCCCGCTATGAGTGGAGAGCAAGTGTGGACGGCCAAGTTTCAGAAACCTGTGTTTATGGTAAACTTGTTTCACACTGGTCATAAACAGTTTATCAACAAATGTTTATTTTTTTATTTATTTATATTAGGGAAACAAACAATTTTGATATACAGACAAATAATCACACAAAAAATAGGACAGAAATCAGCAAAGTTTCCACAGCTAAAATGAATACAGAGTGCAGACTAAAAATTAATTAAATAGTAATAAATTATACATTAATTTCTAAATGTCAAATAAATACGGTGTCAATAAATACATGAATGAATACATGGCTTTATAGTGTTTATAGTCATAAATTATTAGATGTTTATTGCATCATGTTGGTACATTTTACATGCAAGCTGGATAGTGCGAACGTTACACCGATTTGGTATCGGCCGATTTCTCATACGAATTAGAAGCCGAAAAAACTTTCGGTCGGCAAAAAGTCCAAGGGAAATGATGCTTTTCTTACAAAGATTTTATGTAGGGTATACTGTGGCTGGAGAAAATATCCTTTACGAGTATTGACTAGAGTAGTGTACTACTCTGGCCCTTATACAGGGTGGCCTTGGAGTTGATGTTCAAAGCTAGCATTTGGATGCCTTATAACGAAGAACCCAAATCACCCCCATGTTATATTCTACGATTTTGATTCGTTACTTAGAAACTGTTCATAAACAATGTTTCATCATCTCTGTAAACAGTCCATAAACATAGGCGATGAAACATTGTTTATGATACATGTTGCCGTGCTCCCCGCTATGAGTGGAGAGCAAGTGTGGGCGGCCAAGTTTCAGAAACCTGTGTTTATGGTAAACTTGTTTCACACTAGTCATAAACAGTTTATCAACAAATGTTGCCTAATGAATTATTTAAAAAAATCTGTCATATAAAGACAAAATTTCAAATCAATACCAACTCACCAATACTCATGGAAGTCGAACGTAGCGTATATGATATCCGGGCTGTTATACTTCAGCACATGGTTGCCATACGTCTCCCATATGATCCGCTCTCTTCCCTGCTGCTCCACTAAGTTCACAATGCACACTTGCTTGTATATGTTCAGTTCTTCCTGGAAATGGTTCTTGAAGGCTGCGTGAGATTCCTCTTCGGCTGTTAGAGGGAGAAAGAGATATGGAATCGAATGAAGTAACGACATAATACGAGTATCTTTATATGATGCTCATTATAAAATATTCTGCCCTGTAATTTATTTATTAATGAAAGGCATACACAACGGGTGAGTCAGGAGAAAAAATAGTACAATAGTAATTCATCTACTAAATATTGAAATTCGTCATTTAATTCACATTATGACATATTTGCTTACAAAAACCTCAATCTACGAGTATGCTTGAGATTGGATCTAGTTTTGAAACCCATTTATTCCAGACGAAAACTTAAACGATTGTTGCAGAATGTTTCGATCATTATGTCTCTAGATAATCAAAGAAAAAACAGAACATGTACATAATAATGTGAAATATAAATAATACAAACATCTATCAAGGCGAGGAGGCGGCCTGAACTTGTAGTCTGGTTGGCTCCAAAATATGGGCACCGATCCGCGCACCTGTGAAAAGAAAGGAAAGAACTTTAATGATTTCCCATCAGAATCCTATTTATGTTGTTGATTCACAATCCTACTTATAATATTATAAATGCGAAAGTTTGTATGGATGTCTGGATGTTTGTTACTCTTTCATGCAAAAACTACTGAACGGATTTTGATGAAACTTTACAGTATTATTGTTTATAACCCATAATATAACTTAGAGGCTATAATTTATGACGATATGTGACAAACCAAATTTCACGCGGGTGAAGCCGCGGGCAAAAGCTTAGTACCTACATAATAAAATCGTTTTGCATTTTTTGGCTGAATTATAGATTTATTTTAGCATAAAACCCCGTCAAAAGATAAAAAGATAAAAAGTTTATTGTTTAGCTACGAAACTGAAATATTTTTTGCATTTTGTATGGAGAACATAAAAACTAATGCAGAGTTCATAAATTTGTATCAAACAACCAAATACACAGGGTAACGGACGGTGGATGTCTTTGACCATAACACATACAAAAAGCCTTTCAAAACGGTATCCCAATTCGGACACTGGTGTAACAAAACTAATCGGCGCACGTTCAAAACCAACAGCGCATGACTGTAACTGTAGAAAGGCGTTTTACTTTCTACGAGTGAAACTTATAATAATACTTAACATGACTCGGGTGCAATTTACAAGATTAATACATAAAATGGTGTAAAATTTAACGTCTGTAGGTAGGTATACATAATGCATGTATTTCCTTTTTATTTGTGAAATAAAATATATCTATGAGGCTACGATACAATCATAAGCTTGTATGTATAAAAGTTTGAATCGAAGTCAAATGTAGCTGAATACCTATACAATAAATTATTACCTACTGTAGGTAATATTAATTTTATGTTAATTGATATATTTATAATTTGTTTCCTATAGCCTTCACGCCTCATGACTTAGCATAAATTATACGCGATTTGTAGCAATGAATATGAACTATACAGATTCAAAATCCATTTATTCTTATAATGTAATAGGAAATTAATGAAATAAATTGAAATGTCTGTTAGATCATTACACATTGGGTTATTTTGTGACATGATGACTCATGACACAACTATTATTTTGTAGGTATTGTAATTAGATATGGTTATTTTATTCATTCGTAATTTTGCATGGTATGCTCTGCTTACTATGGGGTACTGACCTCATTGTGAGATAAATATAATTTTGGCTTGATATGCAAGGTTCAAAATGGCATACATGCATAATATTATAGCCTGACCAGGAACATAAAAACCCTGGCATAGAGGCGCGTCAATCGCATTTGATAGTGCAACACTGAGTACAGTCGTACCTGTGTTAAATTAATAGGCTAACTTTATGTATCAGGATTCAGGATTACGGGCTAATTTGATATTTTCATAAATTAACCAAAAAATATTATTATAGGTAACCTGGTTTAAATAAATTAAATGAAACCATCAATTGAGCTAGTAGGATTTATTTTATTATTCATCAATAATCAAATTCAGAACTTGAATATTCAACTGCAATGTTTGGTCATGAACGCTTCAAACTCGGTATTTCTTTCCCAATTCCATAAAATTCAACACTTAGAAAGTGACAGAAAATTTTAAAATAGGTAGTTGAAACAAACCACAGCTAATTTTCATAGTGGACTGTACTATACGATAAACATGACAGTCAATTTGACAACCTTTGTCGGAAACATTATTCAATGAAAATATTGTCCGAACCCTTAGTATTTCTCTTCGACAAATACTTTAACACATTGTGAACCACTTTTCTTTCACGACTATAAAAAGATTTTAGCAATTTAATTCACAAAATCAATTGCGCACATTTAAAATAAAGTTTGTTTACACTTTGACAGCAATAGACTGACATGCAAGGTGACATGTCAATGAAGTTTTCAGTTACTGTTGCCATTAAAAGAAATTAGTACCATTAGTTTTCCGCAACATGGCGAGGGTTTTTATGTTCCTGGTCAGGCTATACCATAATTATTATGGTACATAATTAAATAATGTACTAGATTGATAGCTGTTGGAATATACTACAGCGACTATTTTGCTCTGTGGCCGTAATAGCAATACCCCAGTGTGTGTATATCCAGCTAGGTGTTTGTATTTTAAATTACTCGTTAGTAAGGTTCAAAATGAAATATCTACACGAATACCCTATGAATGCTGTCAGAACAGACTAAACTTGAAGTTTATCACGTTCAAAGTGACGTATAAGCACTCAATGAATTGCTAGTGTGAGGTTCAAAACGACATAAGTGCACAAAAGTGGCTCTGTGAATACTGTCAGAACAGTCTATGGAAATGATTTGCTGTCTCGACATAGTTCGCCGGGTTCAATACCGTAAAAGTTTGAACTTTATCACGTATTACTTATTATCAAGGTTCAAAGTGACATATCAGCATTAGCCGGGTTAGAAGTCACTGTGGTTATACTTTTGCTCTTAATTACTTTGTATTAAGGTTCAAAACGACATACCTGCACGAAGGAAGCTCTGTGAATGCTGTCAGAACAGACTATGGAGACGATTTGCTCTGTCTCCACATAGTTCGCCACTTTGCCACCGGGTTCGATGCCGCGGCGGTTGTACCTTTGAAAATAATTAAAGTTGATTTTAAAAAGCGCTTTGACGTGTCCCGAATCAGCTTACTCTACCACCATTTCGGGACAACTTTAGATAACCCAACATAAACTGTCTTTGGATTTTTGCGCCTTAAAAGGAGAAAGGGCCGATTCCAAATAAATTGGGAAATGGTAAAGTAGAAGAAGAAGAAGAACTTAACTTAAGCTGTAGCAAGATGATAAATCTTAAAAATTTTGTATTGCTTCTTACAAAGCAATGTGAACCTGACTTTATAAGCAAATTCAAAGTATAGCCATTTATCATCTGACTATTTAAACTTGCTTTTTTATTTTTTTAGGAAAAATAGAAGCATTTACTGCGAGATTCGAATGTTCTATTCTCATATTGTTCACACAGCAACACACCAGAAAAACTGCGATTGCTAAACATTATAAACCAATAAACATTATGGCATCTTGTGCAGTAGAAATAAGATCTATTTTAGAGTAAAAATGTATGTTGTTATTTAATTTTTAGCATTAGGGGATGCATCTCAAACTAATTTGATTAAACCCAACATTGATGAAACAAACGCTGGCCGTAACAGCGTATTACACTTGAAAATTTCGACGGGTTCATCCAGTGTCTAAGTAGCTCAGTTAGAAGAGCAGTCGCCCGGCAAGCGGAAGGTCGTGGGTTCAATTGCCGCCTTAGGCAGTTCGATTTTTTCAAGTTATTTATAATTTAAAAAAAGTATGTTGAATACAGCATATTTCTTTACTCACCTAGTGCCGGCCTGGTACCGCGACCGCCGTGAAATCAAGCCCAAAGTAAAGGTCTCATCGCACGAATTAGTGTTGGTCAGAGACTCAGTGTTCAGTGGGTTGCTGTCTGCGGGCTCCACCGCTATTTGTGACAGGTGGACGTAGCCTTGGATGATGGGGAGCACCCACTGATCGCATTTGGGACTCTAAAAAGTATTTCATCATCAATAACGATAGAAGCCACGATAGTAGAACGGAGAAGGGGTCGGACTGGCCGACTCGTGGTCCGGGGAACCGCCGCCGCTCGACTATTGTGGTGAGCTCACTCGTAACACAAGAATATTTAGCATAGTACGAGGGGCTAACGGGACTATAAGTAATTTGTGCAATTAGAAATTAACCTACTAATAATCTTAAAAAAAAAAACAACATTAGGTCGTTTGGCGGAATAAAGCGCTTATTAGCAAAATACTNTCTTTTTGTTTTTTTATGATAAAAATGTTATAATACATATTTTCAGCTCAGAGCATTTCTTAAACCTAATTAGCATACGTAAATAATCAATATTAAATATTAAATTCCACCTAAAAAAATGTTGAATGAAAATTTTATCACTTTGTATATTGGGGTGTGTCATACCCCACCTGGTACGGGACGTAACTTTTAGTCACCTCGTACACGGAGGGTTAATAGGTGCGCGGGCGACGAGAAATTGCGATCAAATTGTCGTTTCCTGGGCGCTGATCGAGTCTCCCCCCTTTTCCTGACGCTCCAGTTGATTAGCCCTTTTGGAGGGTTTTCAGATGCTAATATGGGAATTCGTACTGTTTGGACGAACGCCAGATACAGTCAGCGTCAAATACTCGTAGTTCATGACACCCAAAGTGGGCAAAAAGTTGACAACCTTATTCCAAATGGCATGTATTTAAATGATCTTTTTAAATTAGCAAAAACGGCAAATAAAAAAATCTAAATGGTCATCTATTTTAATGATTGATCCTCTTTCTTTGAGACATAAAATAAATGAAATCGATCGATATTTTAACCTCTTTTGAACTACGCAAAAAAAATTTGAGATGTAAAAATTATATCTGATCGTTACTTGTTGGTCCTCAAAAATAAAAGAAATGAGCACCAAATATTCAATATTGTGATACTTTTTTAAATAATTCGATTTGTAATAATTATTTTTTGTCTATATCAAATAATCTTCAAAATAATTATGTTATGGTACTTATTTTTATTAAGTTGTAGTCAAAGGATGGAAACTATTTAAAGGCACTTGATGTTTAAAGATTTTTTTTTATTAAAAATCATACTTAACACGTTCACACTGCGTTATCGGGTCGAATTGACCTTAGGTGCTGGATGCATTGGTGCGGGATTGATATATTCGGTCTTTTCAGTAGTACGAAATATAAATATTGTTTTGCAATTGTTTCGTCAAACACAGTAAATATTTGAAAAAAAAAACTTATCAGGTCCTTACGACCCGATGTCGCACTAAAAGTAAACAAATATCGTTTAGTGCTTTTATCGTGTCTAATCGACCCGTTGACAGATGACTTTATGGTCACTGATCACGGTCGAGATCGGTATACTAAGAGAAAATCAACCTTGCGATTTGAAAAAAATAAAGAGGTAAAAATTATGATGTCGGGTTCAGGGATGTCAGAAGTAAGAAATTATTTTACATAGCGCCTCTAGTCCCAAACTAAGCAAAGCTTGTAATTTAAACAAACATGGCAATGTACCATTCTGCTTGCTTATTGGCCGCTAAGCCCTTGGCCAACTCAGTAACCAATGACGGACGATTGTCACTCAACCACAAAGTACCGCGTAAATTAAAAGATATTTTTTAATTAAAAATATTAACCAATAATATTTTTTGTTAGATCAAATATATTTTAAAGTTAAGTTATACATAGATCGAAATGTATTTATTAGGTGATCAATATTAAAAGGCAAACTTGATATAAAAATCATCAAATTAACAAAATTAAAGATCAATAACTAAAAAAGAGGATCAAATATTATTTTTGTTTACCAAATATTGAAAGAGTATACTAAACATAAATATTATGTTACCTTTAATGAAGATCATTCATAATTTATCCGTAGATCAACTAATATAGACCCAATAATTAATATAAAGATAAAATATAATAAAAAACATCATTTATTTTTAAAAGTGCACATACAAAAAAGATCAATTAGTTTTTAGAGGATCAAATAATATTGTCCCATTGTTTATTGCGTTGTAAAAACATTTATAGCTCTTTATTGAAATATGCGATGCCGGGAAACAGCTGTAATATTTATAACGAAATTAAGGTATTTATGCGTAACAGAAACTGATAACGTTATATTGATAATAACGTCACGGAAGCCGTTTTTTACGTTATTAATTTTATTGACTTGGACACGTTAATACCAGAGTTCACCAACAGACGCAACAGTAAAATTTTCCTCAATATTTAAATATTGTGCTTGTTATTACACTCGCAGACTGGCAAACACAATGTTGTATTTATTAATATTAAAAAGCATTTTAATAATCTCTGTCGATGGTAAATAATGTTTAGGCGAAAAATAAGTAATTTAAGAGAAAAAGAAATATTGAGAAAACTTTTAAGAAACTAACGCCCTTATTCTCACAGTGCGCGTGGACGCACAGGGTGACACGTGAACCAATCACAGAGCTCTATTCAACGCTGTGCGTTCGATTTTCTGCTTCACTTAAGCAAGCATAGTTTGTGAATAATTATAATACATCTTAGAATTAGTCCTGAGACGAAACAAAAATTTTGCAAAGAAAAGTAGACCTCACATAGTGGTTACTTTTTTGCTGACCCGAATCAGGAGAGTCCTCCAGTTGACCGAGAGTCGCGGTTCGAGTCCTGTTGACGACACTTGAAAATGATACTGTTACTATCGGCAAATCGCTCGACGATGAGAGTTTTCTCCCTTACGCCATTTTCTCCTTGTAACAAGTTATTTTTGGCGGAACTCGTGTTCCCATTTCAATGGCCCTTACCGAAATTTTTAACACCAATGCTGATAATTCTGAAAGAACTCTGTTCCTAACGAAATCTGCATCTTAGATAATGGAACAACAAGTTTTAGCAAAATGTAAATGAAATTTTACAATATTATAAGTTTGGAAATCACACATTTTAAAGCGTGTGTGTGCTTGCCTAAAGTGTTGAACTTGAAACGAAAGGCCCGCATAAAGAAGGAACGCATGCCTGACATGAGATATCAGTCCAGCCTGTAGACCTTTTATCGTATGTACATAGCTATTGCTTGCTTGCTTATGATAGGTTAATGGTGAACGAAAAGGTTTCATCTAGGCTACATGAGGGACAATTGGGCTCGATTGATCGCGGATGCCTATGGTATTCGCCTTCTAACCGAACCACTTTATAACGCCGGAAGACATTGCGTGGTTTTTATTGGATCTACCTTCTGATTACAGCTTAGGGCCCAAGAGCCCGCATAACCCCTAGCGCCTGCGGTCAGCGTCCCATTATACAGTTTTCTATCCAAAAAAGTGTAGTCTAGCTATTCTAATACAACCATTCGAGCATTGCAATCTCAAAAGGGCTTATCGAGCCATTATCTAACACTTTTTACAGACGATTACTTTCAAATTGTATCAAGCCCGTTGCTTTAAAAAAGCTGATGCTCCAACCTGCAGTCACGATCAGCGCCCGGGGCAGCCGCCATTACCGGAGGCGACCTTGCACGACTCTGGATTCGATAATCTACCAATCGTACTTGCGGTGCGGAGATCGGGTCTAACGGTACTCTTGGACGTGGACACAGATTGAAGTACAGAAGCGATCATACATTAGGCGCTAGGGTTGTGGTTTGTACCTACGAAAGAGTGTACACTTCTTAGGAGGAATATAGGATGGAATAGATGTGACTTTACAGAATGCTGAATTTGTTAATTTACTTTATAGCTCAAAAAATATTCTTTATTAAAGTATCTAAATATCTAAGGAAGTAGTTTTGGACGTAAACATAGCTGAAAAAACTGAAAAGATAACGTTTCAGTCAGACGCAATGCCAACCGTTTATCTTTAAGTAGATCTTGGAATGGAAATGAAATGTTATTGGTAACAAAGAAGCAAAATAAAGATATCACTTTAAATCTCATCCATGATGAGGATACGATCATCAGTCTTGCCTGGTTAAAGAGGATCGTTTATCATCATCATCAGAATTTATTAACATCGTGTGTTCTTATTATCTTTTTGATAATGTTAGGCAGAATACATCCGTTTACGAACCCTAAGGGACGATCCATCTATCAGCTATTTCATCTATGTCCACAGTCAAACTATCCATCGGCTAACTGTACCCAGTTTGCGCAGTGTCATGTCGGCGTGATAAGCAGACGCGATGTAGCGAGCGAGATTAAAGCTCGGCCTGATAACGCTGTTGTCTTTGAGACGGAGCCTGTAGGGCCTGTTTGAAGGGATAGGGATAGTACTGCGTTAGTGGCATGTTTGGCTTTGTGGTATTTGGTGAAGGTAAGGTGCCGTTTGTTTGAGAGTAGGGTAAGGGTAGTCGAGACTTTTTGAATATGATCTATTTCGAATTTATTTTTCACATTTGTTACTGCTGAAATGTAGTTCATCTATAAACTTGGTTAATCGATTGTACAAATATGTATATTTATAATAATCCTAAGCCTTACTTTATATGCCTCCTTCTTATGTTTTCTAAATGACCTATGTTTTGAAATAAAATTATATTTTTATGTCAAGGCAAACCACAGAATAAAATAGCTGTCCTCCATCTACTTTTTTTTTTTGGAAAATCTTTATGACATTTTTGTACATCATCATCATTTCAGTTCAGCCACTGCTGAACTTAGGCCTTCCCCAATAATTTCCAGATTAGCCAAATTTTTTTACATCAAAATATAATGTAGGTACATGGTGACTGACACTATAATTTCGAAATCCGTTAATAACTTTACCTTGGCTTGATATTATGTTTGTCGGCAGAGTGTAACGAATGAGCGACGCCACTGTACCTCAATTATAAAAACCGCAGCCGTCAGAAAGGTCGTCCAAATATAGGCTTTGCTCTACCCTGTCCATGGCTTTACTGTACCCTGTCCATTCTTAATGCATTAACCCTTAATGCGATTTGTGGCCACATCCAATTAGGCGCGGAGAGTTGGAATGCGCGGTCGTAGGGAATTCCTGTCACGCCGATAATAAGGCTCCGCGCACAACGGGCCACTGACCACAGCCACCTGTGGCTGGCGTCAAGCTGTTTACATGAGTTTTAACAGTGTATCGATAAGCGCAACATACGACGTGTCCACCCATTAGGTGCATAACCGACGTCATAAAGGCAGCTGAAGCCACTGGATGTAGACTACTACCAACCGGCCAATTTGGAAATCATTGGGGGAGGCCTATGTTCAACAGTTGAATAATGATGATGATAACAGTGCAGTGTCCACGACACGCCACCTGTGGCGGCCACTCATGGTTAGTCAGTGTTACCGGGCGGCCATTCGATATATAAATCTATTACAAATTGTAGCAGCCACTGATATCTAGTAGCAACCATCGACCACTCGTGGCAGCTACTACCGACGATCATCGTTCCCGCGGTACTAAAAGACTAAAAGACATGACGCACGACAGTCACCAGTGGCTGTGATCAGTAGTCCGTTTGCGCAGAGCCTATCCTCGTGACAGCATAATACACTAGCTTACGGCATACTTACACGAAACCAGCACACGGCTCTGAAACAAGATCAATTTTGTGTTAACACAGTTCTTACGTGTAAGTATTATTTGCCGATATGTAACGTTACTTCAATTTAATGGGTCTATTAGAATTATATCAAGATTATTCTCTTTGCGTTATTATATTGTAGTAAGTGTTAGATACTTACTCAGCAAATAACAATAATGATCAAAGCTTACATTGTCTATTATGAAACGTTTTCTTTTTGGTACTACGAGTATGTTTCATCAATAAAAGCATGGTTTTTCCGGCGTTCAAGCATTAGACAAATGAACCATTCCTATTATTTCACAAGGCAGCAGATTTAACGACGTAAATGAAAATTGTGAATCGTTCAAACGCGAACGTTCCGTTCATTCAATGATAATTTTTATATCCGTCCTTATTTTTCGGAACAATTCTTTATATTCTTTACCTACACATAGACCCGAAAAAGAAAAATTCACCGAGTTATAAATGATGTTATTTCACTTGTATTATCAGAAACTCCGAATAAATTGAACGATTTATTTGTTCGATTTCCGCACGTGTTCCGATTACAAAGAGTCTACATATAAAATCGTAAGTAGGTTAAGAGTAAAAGTGTGGTTTATTTTGGTTTGAACTTATTGATTGTACGGTACAATTTGTACTGTACTTCCAATATAAAGATCGTGATTATAAACTATGCCATTAGGTACCAAAACTCACATGTCGTTTGTTCAGAGAGGCGTTTCACAATTTGCACATTTAGATTTACGATTGCATATTAAAATATCATAAAGGTAAACCTAAGTGATGTTTGTGCAATCGTGAATCAAGCTAAGTTGTTACTCATAGAAAATAACAAATCTGATGTCATCGTTGCTATCATGGTCATAAAGATAGAACTTATGATTTTATCTAAAACTGTTGATTTTTTACACACATTTTGTTTATGAGCATCTTTAACCACACACTTTTTCAACCTTTTTTTGTTAAAATTTAATAATATTACTCGTAGTAGGCTAAGTAGACTCCTACAGTCTCCTTTAGTTTAAGAGCCTCGAAATAAAATGTTATATCCTCAATAACTGATATACTAATTTTAATAAATATATCGGGAGAAATGGAATCAATGAATGACTTTTATCAGGGCATGACCTTTTATAATAATGAAAACGACTACGATGACCATTAAGTAGGTCCCAAATCAAACAGAACATAGGGTTTCTGAATTAAGATTTTTGACTTGAGCGTGCTCATCTTCTAATATGTAAAATTCAACTTTGAAATCTCAATGCAGAAACCGGGTATTAGACCAGTATTTTGAAATTGATAATATCGTTACCTAAGCTTTTGGTATGATTAATAATCCTATCATTATTATTAAGCTCATTAGATCCACAAATAGCGTCTGCTTTTTATTTGTTTTCTCTCATGTCATTTATATTACCTGTTTACATATTCAAATGATCTGTTCGTGACTTCATGTTTTGAATAAAGTTATTAGCCTCATTATCATCATCATCACATGTTGAATTTGTTATTATAATATCTATTGCGAAGTTATTGAATATTGAAAAGTCATAGGATTATGAGATTAGACTTACTAATAATAAAATGATAATAAATTCGCATTAGTAAGTATTGATTTATTATTGTTATTGCATTGTACATAGGAACTTGCAAATTCAATCATGACAATCATAAATTGATTTATGATCGTTGTCATCTAACTTTTACACAACATGAAAGTATTATTAAAATAATAATGCCATTTGCAGAGAATGTAGTTCGTTTCAGCCGAAAGACGTCCACTGCTGGACAAAGGCCTCCCCCAAGGATTTCCACAAAGACCGGTCCTGCGCCGCTTGCATCCAGGTACTTCCCGCGACCTTCACCAGATCGTCGGTCCACCTAGTGGGAGGCCTGCCCACGCTACGTCTTCCAGCTCGTGGTCGCCACTCAAGAACTTTTCTGCCCCAGCGGCCATCATCTCTTCGAGCTATGTGCCCCTAAGAGAATGTAGACGTACATGTTTTAGGGATTAGAAGGCTGAGTGTGAGTTTACATGAAACTCGCAAAAAATGACTTTAAAGTAAGACAGATTGTTCAGCGTTCCTAGAGGAAACTTTCAAGAACTGAAATTTTCATACATCTCACTAAGCCCTCAGCAGTAATCTTTATAGGTATATTTTTTGTTTTCAGGTCAAGTATACAAATTATTTCTGAATCCAATCTCGCGACAATAACTTACATTCCTTAGAACAAATCAATGTGATTGTTCCGTTTGATTCCCCGGCAAGCTTATTTAGTATTGCGGTTTTGTTTTTCATTTGCCACGGTACCGTAAAGTTTGCCGGCCCACCGCAAGACGTTTCCCGCGGTCCCATCAACTCATTATTAAATTCATGCTCCAATTTTCAAAATCAACCAAGGTTAAGTTTCAAGGTTTTTTTTCCATTATTTTAATAGGTTTCTTACTGTATTGTCGACGAATTACTGAAACTATACAGGTCGTTTGTATAAACAACATTAAGGTAAACCCTGCGGCATCTTTGTGGTTGTGACTTGCGATAGATGTTATTTTTCAACAAATTTGGATGTGCTGTTGACTGTATGTGTATCATTACTTGCATTTGAGTTTTGATAGCTTAATAGATGTGAGTCAAATATGACTCATGTGACAGGGGAAATTGTTAAAGTGATGAAGCAAAAAGTTTGGAGAAGTTATTTTAAAATTTCGGCAAGTCATTCACAACAGCATAAAATTAGATGTAAAGAAACTAATTTTTATGATAATTAAATTCCATGTGGTTCCAGCAAAGAAGGATAGGACCTCTTCCACTCTTCAACATCGCCTCCTCAACGCAGTCTAATCAGCGTGAAGAGTGTAGGCCAAATCAAATTCAAATTCAAATTCAAAACGTTTATTTGCCAAAAACACAGTAATACAGGGTGACAATATTAAATAGGATCATGTGTTTAGTCTGCTCGCAGACGTGCAAAAATTACAGGATTCAATAGTATTAATGTCAAATAATTAAGAAAATGTCAATGTAAAATTAAATTAATAGTATCAATGTCGCCAATTAAAATATTCCTTATAACTATAAAAACATTTGTCCAAAAGCCAGCAAGTCAGTCTGCTTTTAAATATAGGGTCTTGGAGTACTTTAAGTTCTTCCTTTGCTTTAATCCTTCATTTGCCTGTGGCTTAAAACAGGCCCATGTTCCTTCAATGGATACTAAATCTGATGATTATGTTGATTGATTAAATTCAACGGCAGCTATGTTATTCCTTTTCCACGAGTATCAAACATAACCTTTTTGGGTACAGCTTTTCACAGATCTGAGAACATTGTTTGTGATGTTTAACGTAAATATCCGTATACAATAAAATCTAATGGAAGAAATTTAAAATGGAGATATGAAAACCACAGCACAGTTTCAACGGTCTATTGAACAGCAGGAAATGAATCGAGTTAGCGATAAAAAAGCAACTAATCGTGCACTTGTCTTGGTTATAGGAATTGATATTCAATCATTCAACGCGTTGATATAACATAAGGATGAGTAGTAAGACCTTTGACCATGAAACGTATTAGTGAAGATACGAAATAGCAAATTACGAAAATGAGTCCAATTCTAACGATGCGTTTTTGAACCATTAAAATTCCAAATCCGCGATCTGCGATCTCCAACCCGCCTGCCAAGCGTGGGGATTATGGCAAATCTCTCCACTTTAGTGGAGAAGGCTCATAGTCCAGCAGTGGACTGTGAAGGGCTGTTGATGATGATGATGATCAGAATTCCAAATTCTAATGTGGACACGATGCGAATTCCTTGTGTGATTTAACTATCTGGAAATTGAAACGAATATTTTTTTTTCCAGTTCTTACAGGAATATCAACATCTAATTTACATCTTCTCGGATTGACTACAATAATCGCTTTCTAGCAATTAAACTGCACAAACTGTGTCATTTCAATTGTTGTAAGTATTTCTTTTAGTCTATCTATGACAGATCTGTTTGGGGTGAACATACTGATCAATGTTTATTGTGTGTTTATAATGTCTCGCTTTCTTGAGTTTAATAAACATTACTGGTACACTGTACATCCGTAAATTAATAATGACATTGCCGTTTCAGCTCTGTCAATGAATGTGTCAATATAACTAACTAGATTAGCACACTTGAGCAAACGTTGACTTGCAAGCAATTTTGAAACTAAACCCTATGTGTTAACCCGAGAAATCAGTTTTACCGGCCCATGTTTACCTTTCTCGCGGCTTTATCATTTCTACAAACACCGCGCGGACGAAAGTAGGTGACTTCAATTCCAAAAGCTTCTTCCGAAGTACCTATGTTTACGACGTACCACGTGGTATCACGAAAAAAAATTAATTTTCCTCATTCATATTCAGAACGGCCTTCAATGATACTGGGGTCGCGTTCTCGTTCGTTCATTCGTTCGCGGCGACCCGTTCTCCGGTCCGTTCGGTCGCTAGTCGCGGGTGATAACTCTGTGCGAGCAGACGTGCACGCTCTAATCGGGTGACGCCGCGCGTTTCGATCGCCTTAATCGAAGTTAACGCGATTAAAAAACGCTCCGGTCTGTGCTTTTGTGTGTAACTAAGTGGATTCAGTGCGAATCGATCATAGATGGTGTGTGTGTGAAACTAGTTTTGTCTTACTGTGCAATAAATCTGGATTTTTTCTTCTGCGACGGTTTTTGTGGTGAGTAAAGATTGGCACCTAAGTCTTTGCAAAAACACATTGTTGCGGGTGCTGTGTTTACGTTCTTAGGAAATATTTGTATAATCGCGTTTTGCGGTGGAACGTGATTTCCTTATCACAGGTGTGGAGGTTTTTAATTTACTTGTGCCTACCCGCGACGAATGGAAATGGAATCGAGTTAAGTGAACACGTTCTCGCTGGGTCTCGATTTGAGTATTTCAACTAGCTTTCCAATAGGACCGGTACTTTTTTAATATGGTATGCACACAGTACGAGTCAATGTCAAGCCCATTTAAAAATGCTGATCAATTTATTCAAAACTTTATTGCGCTTGCGATAAGGCATTCTCTCCCAGTCAACCTTTGAGCCAAACAAAAATTGCAGTAGCCGATGCAGGAAAGTTTACCTATGTTTAAAACCTCATTTTTTTTACAGGTTGTCGATACTAAATGAAAATTAAACAGCGGTAGATAATAAAATTTGCAAATAGCGCGGTGGTTACAACAGTCACCCTGCAAGTGACAGGTCGTAGGTTCGATTTCATCTTGATGTTTTCAAGTAAAAAAAAATAGTTTGAGATGCAACTTAAATACCAAAACAATATTATTAAACTGAGTTGACCTCACAAGAAACTACCTGAGTAGGTATCTAACGAGCTTCTATGTCTGAATAGCAAACCCTTACTTAATCCCCAAGCTACAGTGACGTAATGTGCCCTTAATTTGTTAAAGCCTGGTTAGCGATAAAGGTGCGCTATTACCGCAAACCGCCGGTTTACTATCTATCAGATAGTTCGCGGCTTGTTTAAGTTATGGATACTTCGTTATTCAAGAGTGTAACAGCTGGTTCGTGATTAATATGAAGGTGTCGATTAGAGGCAAGTAGTTTCGTCCTAAGTAGATACCTACAGAACAATATTTGGTTAACTATCTTAGGTGAAGACTTGAGTATATTTTCATATCCCTTTCTTGAAAAATTTTGGGTTTCCCATATCAACTTCAAGTTTATCATACGACAAATAAAGTAAAATTTTGTTCTAAAACTGCTGAAACTTTCAGATTATCTTTCTTTCTATTGATTTTAAGATTGAGCTGGCGGTTTTTTGGGAGAAAAATACTTTTCGCTGTTTTTTTCCATGTTCATTTCATGTCAAATAAAGAATTTTCTATTTCTGGATTTGGAATTGAGTTTTGATAATAGCTTCATAGAATACAGGCTTTTCAGAGGTCACGAATCCACTCACGACCACCCTACGATCATAAGTAGTCAATAGTCATAAAAGCAAATCGAACAAATTATGATGCAGCCATCTTCTTCCCTAGTTAAAGTAAACTTTCAGCATCTTAAGTATGTAGGTACCTAGTTGGAATAGAGTTAATTTTTTGAACAAAATTGCTATAGTCTCATGTGCTATCCTATGCACATCAGACTGTACATGTTTGTTGAAAAATAGCCCGTATTACAACTACATAAGATGCCACTATGTTCAGCTTGATGTGCTGTCGTCTATACATACGCAAGCACTCGATAAGTTATCATTAACAATTCTAATTCGCAATCTACCTCCGATTATTCAAACATTTCGATAACTTTATCGCGGATTTGCGACTCATTTGCATTTGTTACCGTTGACATTGAGAATCCATTTAATGGACATGGCGCACAATTTTTGTTGAAGATGCCAAAAAAAACTTAATGCAATTAGTGCTATTTATTTATTTAATGTTTGACCCAAATATTTTTTTAATTTAAACAGCAAAAATCATTGTTTAATTACGAGTATGTTAGTACTTTAAATCAACTACACTCGACAGCAAATAAAACGCACCACCCGCGACGCGAACTTTAAAGATTTTCTTTTGACACAATAATGGTGCCCCAACAATATTGGTGTTATTTGAAAGCCCCATAAATATCCTTAAAGAAAAACACATTTAATTTCTTAATAAATGATTAACATATACCATAAATGTGACTTGAAAAAAGACCTCACTTTGGGCTCACCTCTGGGATCAATTAGACCAAATTTTATGGTTATAAAACCAAATAATGATCACACGTGTCCTCTTTAACAGATGGATAGCGATTAATCCCAACTTAACAGTTTTATAGTCATAAAAAATGACTATAGCGTAACTACCTATTTTTTGAAGAAGTGACTCTGGATCCTTGTAAAGACACATTTTTGGGGTAAAAACCTTTCTTTTAATAAAATGAAGTTTAGAACTAGGCTTTTAATTGGTGCCAATATTGGTGGGAAGTAGGGATGCATACGTTTGAAAATGCTTGTCGCGGGTGGTGCGATTTATTTGCTGTCGAGTGTAATATGTATGAATTACAAACAACAGCAAGTCAGCAACAAACAAGCGGAAAATTGGCGAAGAATCATTAAAAAATAAGACCGTAATTAAATTAGTTTTGATCCTACCTATATCAATCTAAGAAAGAAACAGTGATTACAAAATTAGATATTTGACCTATGTTCCACCTGGGAATGGAACCCAGAACTTTTTATTCGAAAGAGTCCAACTCTCTCCACTGGTATACCAGAATAATATAATCATTTTACCTGGTGTTTGAACAAACTATCACTACAACAATATAAGATTAATTTTCTCACATACCATTAAGAAGTAAGAGAACGTGTATGTTTGTTTATTGAACTATTGTGCCGAATGGATAGCGGGACCGTGCGTACAGTTAGTACGCGTGTAACACTTTGTGATATAAGAAATACCAATGAATGTTCTACAGTACGTACAAATGTAATAAAAAATGCAGTGTAGCCACCACCAAACCTCTTTTGATTTGAATTTTGTTTTGAAACCTAATTGAATAGACAGCAAGTAAAAAAGGCTCCCTTTTTATAGGGCATTCACTGTGATTCACTCCCAGACATCCTTTGGGCCTGGCAGATGAAGATTAGATTAGGTTAACTTGCATAGTTATCGAAATATAGGCACATATGTATTACTTAATAATGATATGGACAAGATTTGTCGCATAAAAATCTTGTTTGTTTCTTTCTTGTGACAGTGAACAAGATCAATACAATAAAAACAATAAGAGTAATAAAATATAATTCATTCTCACAATCGCAAGTTGAAACAAAGAAATTACATTTCCAGTTGAATGTGTGGACGAGAGGCACATCAAATTAAACACTTATTACCTACTGATATTGCAATAAGAACTATTTTACAGTAAAAATGTATATGGTTATGTGCTGTCGACTGTACAAAAGACGATAAAATAATGCGCGTTAATTAAATACGTATAGAAACAAATGAATTCGTATTTACTTAGGAATTTTCCAAGCCACCTACGTAGATAAGTCAGCGTTTTAGTTTTTGTCACTGTCCATTAAAAATATACCTCAATCACTATTACTCATGAGTTCATTTAAATACTAATCTAAGGCTATATGAAACGATGACAGTAACAGGTAAATAAATAATCTACACTTAAGAATTATGGGTAGTAATTTATTTACGCACGTCTACGAGTATAACTTATAATAAAATTGACGATTTATACCTGGCTTAAAAAAGATAAATAAATATGCTATACTCGATTATATAAATAAGCTTAATTGATGATTTGTCTCTTTTTAAAGTTGAAACCTTCTTACAAGCAATTCTTTGTTTATAAGCGGATTATTATTGAAATTACCAATTTTCTCAGTGTGTACAGGTGTACCTGGCTTTAAAAATCACTACACGTTATCGCGATTGATACCGTTACATTCACCCCATAGATACGCACACAAGCTCAAAGGGGTCGGTAATTTGCGTGCGCTAAGCCAATAACTTGTCGCGCTCACCCCGTCGGAAGCGCAATTGATTTGATACGCAAACTGTTGATACAGCCCTCTGTGCTAACCAGGGTTGTTACTTCCAAGGCTATGTTTTCCTTCTTTCAAATTCAAAAATATTGTCTAAATTACAAATTCGAAAAAAGAAATGTCAAATGCGATTAAACCGATTTTTAGACCACTCCTTGCGTATTAGATTAGCACATTAGGATCTTTTCATTTGTGGGACATCTTTACTTTCTATTTTAAAAACCTTTTTACAGAGCAACAAAATAACTTTTATGACTGTTTTAACAGACTTAAAAAAGGTTCTCAGTTTGACCTATATGTGTGCAGTGTCCGAAATTATCTCACGTTCGACTGAACCGATTTTGTTGCGGGTTTCAGAAATGTATTTATCTTACATTCGGGAACATGTTTTGGTATACAACAAATAGATACCCCGTGACGTCGTCCGCATGGATTTGGTATTGAGTTTATTGATGCTGTTTTTGCTAAGTTAGTCCAGACAGCGAGAGTAATCTGAGAAATTGTTTACTATCACAGACTATTTTTATTGCTTCACCAACCTCAACGTAATAAACATGTTTACGAAAACTTAATACCTACTTGAGACATGTAGGACGTGGGTGTAGGCACTGAGTCGATAAAATCGTGTTTGCCAAATGTTTACTCAAAATAATATTTCTCCTTTAATCACGTGTTACGGTTAAAGTATTGAAAATGTAGTTCATGTGTAGAAAAGATGATAAGTCTGAAAATGTATGTCAGACAAATGATTAACTTTCCTGATTGCTTTTTATTATACTTTTCCTGTAATATCTGATTGATCAAAGCGTAGCAACCCTGTCCAATCATACGTTAGATGTCGCTGAAGTGTTGTAACGGTATCAATAGTTGATTAAATCTGGTGTGGGAAACACATCAGACTATACATTTTTATTGAAAATTCGCCCTTAATATAACTACATAAGACCCCACAGTGTTTAACTTAACGTGCCGCCTTCTCTACGTCTTCAAGAAACGTCAGTGTGGGTGGTGATGTCGATAAAAAGTGATTGCCATTGCCAAATGCTTATTACGGATGCATTTCCTGCCACACTAGATTGTCCAGAGTGTGGTAACCCTGCCCGATCACTCGTCAGATGTTACCGCGCTAGTGTTGTAACTGTATCGGTTGTTAATT